CTTCTAACATCTGTGTGCTGACGCGGACACCTTCCGTGGCCATTGCGCCGAGATGATGTTTCCACTTGCTTGGCTTTGTTGTGGAGCAATCTAGCTTTAATAATCGGTCTGTGCGGTGGCTGTCATACACTGAACACCATCAACGTCTCAACTCACCGCATCATACTTGGCCCTCTCTTCCCCCGTCATCACCCTCGCGGCCCGGTGCTTGGCCTTCATCTCCTCCCGCAGGGACTCGTACTCCTTCGCCCTCTGCTTGATGGCCTTCCGCCTGGCCTTTTCCTTGTCCGTCTCATCGTCCGCGTCGCCTCCTCGCCAACCGGCACCGGTTGCCCCGCTCCCTTCTGCCTCCTTTTTCTCCTCCTCCTCCTCCTCCTCCTCTGGTTCGAAGTCAAGAGGGTTGTCGTCGTTGTCGCCGCCATCTTTCGATTTCTCGAGGGCTTTTCGCTTGTCCATCATCTTCTGCCGCATTTTCTGCATGAATGCGTCGCCGTCGTCTAAGGGCTCGGGGTGACCCGCCCCCCCCCCGCCGCCGCCGCCGCCTGCGCCATTGGAACTCCCCGCGTCTTCTCTGCTCAGAGTCGAAATTACGGACCGTGGACACGTGCCGACCAGGGAAAGCACTGCTGGTGTTGTGGTTGCGGGATGGTTAATGTTTGCGAACACCGACTACGCCTTGTTGTCGCAAACCCACGATAGCCCTTCTTCTTGTGGTACCGACCATGGCCCGTACATACGATCGACTTTTTCCGAGAAAAATGCCATGAGCGTCTCAACATCGGATGTCAGGTGTACCCAGCATATGGATCTCCGCAGATCTAGGGAGTGGAGTGTATCATGTTGGTTTGTATTTGTACAAGGGAATTCCTCCTGCCGTGCGTGCCCTCTTCACTCGTTCGCAACAAGGGTCCTGAGTCAAACATTTTCCTCCGCATCTCCGACGACAAGCACCCACTACCGTAATGTAGTATGGAGTATAGTGTAAGGTAACACCGCAGAGGTTTGTTTCTTAGACCTAATTTCCTAATTTTTCGTGAAAATTTGAACCTCTATTTCTCAACGAAATACTCGTGTTCTTTATTGAGGAACCGTCCCGTCCCGCCCCGTCTCGTCCCGTACACACCTCGCCCCCTTCCCGGCAACGGCGGCCGACTTCACCGCCTTCCGCAGCCCGTCCTTCAGCTTGCTCAACTTGTCGTCGTAGGCCGCGTCCTTGCTCAACTTTTCGTCGTACGCCGCGTCCTTGCTCAACTTTTCGTCGTCGAGCGCGTCGTGCGCGCTCTTGATCCCCCGACCGGCGGACTTGCTCCCGCCGCCGCCGCCCCCGCCGGCAACCAGCGCGTCCAGCTCCTTCTCCTCCTGGTCCGCCTCCTCCCCGAAGGAAAGAAGCTTGAAGTCCTTCTTCCCCTGCTTCTTTCGGCGCTTCTTCTTGGCTTCGGCCTCCGCGGCCGTGGCCGCGGCGGCGGCGGCGGCGGCCTCGCCGCCGCGCCCCGAGAGGTCTCGCGGCACGATGTCGTCGAAGGGGTTGAGGAGGACCTCTACGGAGATCAGGCGGGGGGGCTCGAGAGGCCGATCGTCCTTGTCCGTGTCGATGTCGCCCATCCGGAGAGCGTTGAAGATGGTGTTGCCGGTGATCTGTGTGTATGTCAAGATGGGGGGGGTGTATACTCATGCAAACGAACGTCACTAGACCATTGACCTCGCATCCCTAAATACCGCAGATGACACAAGATAGCATACCCCCTGACCAATTTTCAAAGCTCGGTTACTCCACGACGAAGAGGATGCATAAACGAAACGATCCATTTTTGGAAAGCTCTCGACGAGACGGTTCCAACGCCGCCGCTTTCGGCGCCATGACTCTTTCTGTTGTTGAGAAATCGAGCTTTGAAAATCGGTCCAGGGGGTGTGTTATTTTGTGTCATTTGCGGTATTACGCCGGTACGGGGCGATACTCCGGGTTTTCGCCGGCCCGGGCTACGTTTCACAAGGATGAAGCATATGGGGGCGGGAGAGGGATGGTGTGTTGGCATTTCAAGGCAAGGAAGGGTGTATTAGAACGGGGGCAAGGTTGTGCCCGAGATGGGTGCGTGAGATGGCAGGGCAAATCGTCTGAGTTCGTCCTGTTGTCTGGGGTGGCCACGGCAGAACACCGATGCAAAGAATCACAACGTGGCCGAAAAACAACACAAGCGAACCCGTTTGCCCTGAGGCAAGCAGCACGTCTACCTCAGTCCAGCACGTATCCCACCGCTGCCGCTCCGTAAAACGGGTAACCAACCCCCCCACTGTCTTGTTGGGCCTGTTAGCCGCGATACCGTGGGTTGCATAAGATGTCAACCCCCCTGGGCCGATTTTCAAAGCTTGATTACTCGGCAAGGAATGAAGTGACGGTGCCGAATATGGCGGAAGTGGAACCGCCCCGTCGAGAGCTTTTCCGGACACGTATCGTTTGCCTTCGGCATCCTCTTCGTCGTGGAGTAATCGACCATTGAAAATCGGTCCGGGGGTTGTGATATCTTACGCAACCTACGGTATGCTGCTCGGGGAACCGCAGAAATGAATTCAAGTTGGTTGGTCGGTGCTCGTCATTTGCTAATCTATCCCGGACTCGCATCTGTAGAAGAAATGAATCGGTTGCGTTGCAGAAACAAAAAGCTTCTCGCGAAGCCGAGAAGTGTCAAGCAAACGCCTACACACCTTGCCGAAGATGGTGTGCTTCTTGTCCAGATGCGCAGCGCTGTCTAGCGTGAAGAAAAACTGGCTGTGGTTGGTGCGGGGCTCGTTCTCGTTGGCCATGGCCACCTGCCCGCGGTGGTTGAACTTGATGCGCGTGTGGATCTCGTCCCGGAACGGCTTACCGTAGACGCTCTCCCCGCCCTTGCCCGTGCCCGTGGGGTCTCCCCCCTGCACCATGAACTTGCGGATAATTCGGTGGAATATCGTGTTGTCATAGTACTGCTCGGGAAAGGCGACAGTTGGGCGCATCGGCGGGGGGGGGGGG